AACTTGTCTAGCGGTTATTTCAATTGTCTGCCAAGGTACTTAATTTATACTGATGTTTACTTACCTACTCGTAAAGGTATTTAACGACTGACATGTGGATGTTTGATCATATTATTATAAGTGTACGCATGGTTGCGTGTGTCACATCTTGTGAATATAGCGTGTTTGTAACATATGTATGTGTTTATTAACTATGGGCTGTTGCGAGCGGTATTAGGAAATAATTCGGAAATTTGTTATGTATAACTAGTTACTACTCTATATAGTTAACTTTACAAAAACTATCACCGACTTAAATGCGCCTGTATCATAATTAATTGTAATAAACTATTTTTCATTCCTTAATTTTCCACCCTTGGAAGCATTTTTTTTTCCAATTTGAATGGAATCAAACAGTAAGCATACATACAATGAAATAATTTTCCAAATCGGTCTATGACTGTCAGAGTTTTGAACATAAGCATAAAAACAACCGAATTATGTTAAAAACATGTGTGAATAACCATTATTTGTTATTTTTATCGTTTCATTATCCTCGTATTTGCAATAAAAAAGTATATTATAGATCAGCGTCTTAGCGTATTCCTAAAAGAGATATGATTGGCTTCTTTGCGACTGTCAACTATTTTATATTGAAGAAAGCTTTATTCAGTATTGATTATTATTATATTAAATTTCTGTAGTTGACACGTAAAACTTCAAATGAGTTTGCTGTTGAACTTCTAAAAACAAATTCACGTGGACGTAGCACACAATAGTAAATTGCTAAGAGATTTGCTGGAAGGCTTGCTACGTCCCATGACTCTTGGCGAACAGAAAGTTTAACAAACTGGGACTGCAACTCTCTCAAGTTATAACATAATTATGTTCCCGTACATATGTATTGCAGCAATTCTAGTTCTCAAATTTTTGAACAAGTTATCTGTTTGTGTGTATAACAATGTAAAATCTGCTTAAAACTTCATGAAGAGTGGGTACGCAATTTGCCATTTTTTGTGTATATGCAGATATTCGATAATTTAATACTAGTGTCCTAACACCACCTAGCCTGTTCCTCGCTTTCGGAGGAAAACCTCGGAGCCACCTGTAGGTCCTACTACCGAATGATGGGACAACCTCCAGTCCACACGGGTTACGGTATTAACTGTAATCAGTATTTACTTCAACAATATTTTTTTCTTGATTCGGTAACAATTTCACGTAACTAAAAGATATTGGGCTGGCCTGATAGTCTGGTAGCAAGCAGTTATGACTGCTAAGTCAGAGGTAGTAAATTAGATTTCTCCGAATCACAACTGATATTGTCTGATAAGCACGATGGTTTGTTCTATATCAGAATATAATTTATTTATAACTAGGTTTTGCACATACTCCGCCGTGTATTTCGGTTATTACTGTAAAAGTTACTAGTTTCCTATGGTATAATGTAGCTTTCCATTGGTAATTTTTTTTTTAAATCGATTAAGTCTTTTAAACGTGAAAGCGAAACAAACAATCAAACTTATTTTCACATTTATAATATAACTATGGATGTCATCACCAGTCTACCTTAGCATAGGCTCTATATAATTTAGGATTAGGTAAATGAGTGTCAAATTAGTATTATAATCTAATCAAACATTTCATTAGTCAGATTAGTATTTATTGTGAATGGATTATACTCTTAATAATATTATTGTTTTCACCTGGCCTCTAATATATTTGTGGGTCATGAAAGCCTGACCTAATTGTCTTTATCAGCTCATTCAATATAAATAATAGATTAACCACACAATTTTGTCAAATTTAAATACTAGAGTTTTGAATTTAATATAGATCTCAATAGGTACTAATTGAATTTTAATATTGACATAATTGCGTCCCTGCAGAAGTGCATTGATAATGTGTCATTTAAATTGCACTGTAGTCATTTAAAAGGTCATTCTAATAACTTTTTTATGTGCATACATAAATACGTTGAAATATTTATATCAATATGGGGTTATAAATATATTTATTAATCAAAAATAGCAAGTTTTATCTATAGGAACACAAGGGCTAATGAATTATATGTTTATTAATATACTATTCAATATTACACAATATTACATCCAATTAGAATTATTTAGTATTATTTATTACTACTCAGAGGACAAAGTCGACTAAGGGAGCAAACTACGCAGGACAACAGCACTGCAGAGAGAAGGAAAACTTGACACAAACCCTATACCAACCCGTCTGGCCAGCGTGGTGTAGTAGGCCAAAACCTCCTTTCTAAGGAGAGGCCTATGTCCAGCAGTGGACTAGTAAAGGCTGTCGATGACTCAGAGGACAAGAACCTAAGGATAGGTTATGCGCATTATAGACCGGCTTGGTCTATTGCTGATAATGTCTAATCTATTCGTATAAACAATAATATCTGTCCTTTTATCATCATCTCTTAATACTTTCCTTATTCAATAAAACACTAGTAAGATGAAAATTTAGTTAGCAAATAGTGAATATTTTAGACACCTCTACTTACTACTATAGGGGATGAGGGATATATGATTGTATGTAGTAGGTACTCGCAAAGACGTGTATAAGAGGTATTGCAAATATAAGACGTCCCCTTCCTCAATATTTAATAAATATATGGGATTGTTAAGGTATCATCGCTTCAGTCAGCGCTCGTCGTTTTGCCGACTTCTTAAACTTACTTAGTTAAAAATCGATATATGTTTATGTATTTATATTTATATAGAGTACAAAAAGATTTGTATACTTTTTTATATCGGACCATTTGTACTAATAATCGATTCATTTAAAAACAGTTTAAAATAACGGAAGTTAATTTAACATTGACTGTTCAACGGCTGTTAATATACTTCAGTTTCTACCTATTTTGTGACATATTACTCTCGGAATAAGACATTAATCATTTTATTAATAATTAAAAATCAACCAATTAGTTTTTTGACGTATCGTTAATATTTATATTTGCATTAAATTATAATATATGTTTATTTAATTATCATGTACGCATGAGTGGGTAACAAAAACGTATTACGTAATGTACAGGATATTTGTTTCGTTACCAAGTAGAAATCTTAATATATTAAAATTATTTATTCTTTATTTTTAACAAAATACGGTCGTAGTGGTGCTAAAAATAGTATGATCTCGATTTTATGAAATTGGTAATTTTATGACTAAAATTGAAAAATTTTATATTTGTAAATCTCTAAATCATTTAGAGGGTCCGCAAGGGATTTAGAACTGTCCCGGTCCCCCAGGCCCGGGAACGAGCCAGGTTCCGTAGACGACTCAGACGCCGCAGTTCGTAGAACGATCTCCGTCCTCCATAAGCGAAAACCTGGGGGTCACAGGTGAGGCCATATCACCCTAGCAGAAGCCGGGCCGAGGATTTCCGTACAGAAAAATAAAATAAAATAAATGGGTAATTTAGAATGAGTGAGCCATTATGCTGTAGTAGAGTGGAGCGGGTAAAAAACTCTAAGGACTATAAAAATTTAAGACAATGGAGCATATTGTTCCTAACTAAAACAGACGATTATACTGTCACCTTTAACACTTTCTTTGAATCATCTATCAAGTAAGATCCTGATTGACAAGAATTCTATGGTATCCATAGTCACATGTTATATTCTCATCTCAAGACTTGATTCCATATTGTAGTACCTACTTTTTTTGCGGTCATATTATGATATCAGTCAACTGGTTCAAAACTAAAATTAGATGTGGTAACTACATGTTAATCGATATCTTTACAGTTTTTACTGGTTATTATGGCCATTTATTCCGGACATAAATGTGTGCGAGTACCCTTGGAATACTTAATATAAATTATCTAAGATCTTAAAAATATAGAACTATATCGATCAAATTCACGCGATACTATGCGTTAATATGGCCTCATTTGCATGTAGTCTTTTAACAAGCAAAAACTTAATTTGGTATTGGTTAATGACAACAATTTGGTATTACAAAAAATATTTAATTGAATATTACCCACCAATTTTAATGATCTTATTCGTAGATGGAATTTTTCTATAATACAATGGTTTTTACACAGCATGATTCATTCCTTATGATTTTAGTGCCTTCGAATTTAAATGAGAGATTTAAATGCACTCAAGAATAACTTAATATTCCTTTAGAATTTAATAGTGAAAAAGATGAAATGCCTGATTCAATGTCTTGTCATTTTCAAATTGTGTTTTCGTTTTCAGCCTAGTTTTTACAAAATTTATTGTAAACAGCTTCTTAAAAAACAGTTTTTAAAACTTTTTCTTATTTACAAATATTACTTTTACTTCTTCTCGACAGGGGTCAATTTTTAATGTAAATGCAAATTCAAGAATTCAACTTATTTTGCTGTGGCAACTATGATAATTAATTTTGCCCAATGGTTGAGTTTTATTTTTTTTCAATTTTATAAGTTTCTATTGTGTTTTTTTAGTGATATGCTATGTACTTTATTTTTTTCACCTCACCAGGTTGAAGTTATGTCATATGTGGTAAAAGTATTGTTTAATTTTCGATTTTTTCGTTACAGATTGCAGTATTGGTAATAATCCGTTGATTTGAGAATTTTAATGTAATTAGGTTTGAAATAAAAGCAAGAATACCTATGTATTTTAAAGCAAGATAATTATGATAGTGTCACATTGGTTGTCTTCAATAAAGATAATTTAGTAAAGCAATTGTTTTTACTTTTCACCCGTATACAAAAACAAGTTAATTTGAAGCCGAAAACATCCTCATCCATGATCAATATTTTCTATCAAATCAGGGTCATTATGGCGTTTCACCGGTTGATTTCGGATTTCAATAGTATGTTTCAACCTTTAATGTTTAGTCAGCTTAGCCTTATTTTGACCAACCTCTTTTAATTTGAGGTGATATGTCAACTTGACAACTTTACCCAAAAAAACACATTGACGAAAAAATCAAAAGGTGCTTTGTTTTTCATAAATAAATATTAAATTATTCTCAATTTACCCACTCTTTTTCATATTATGGTTTTATCAAATTCTTGTAGCAGGTTTTTCTTAAGAAATCATGTTTTTTCCATGTAAGTTAATGTTTATTTTTATTATTTTTTTGTACTAATGGTTAGGTATTTTACAATCCTAATGCTGTACTCGTAATATCTTCTTCTACAAAACTTCTTGCTTTAAATTTCCCAATAGCCTAGGCAAGAGAATAAGGCATATTTTATCAACATTTGACTGTTCCTTAAAAGATATCAATACCATTCAAGTAGTTCTCTAAAATCTATAAAAATATAAAACTTTGACCACGTTTACCCATTCTTTATACAACAATAAGATTTAATCAGACAATAAATGTTTGTAAATGACAATTCATTCATTCAAATTTATTTTATCAAAACTGTGCAACAGTAGAACTGTGGATATAATTTAATTTCAATTAAAAATAACATTTAAATATTATGTAAAATAACTTCACGTGTAGTGAAGAATTAAGAAAATGGAGTGTCACCACCCTTATTCATCCCGTGGGTGTCGTAAAAGCTGGTTAAGGGAGCAAACTATGCAGGACAACAGCACTTGACACTAACCCTTTACCATCCAGCGTAGTATAGTAGGCCAAAACGTCCTTTATAGGGAGACGCTTATGTCCAGAAGTGGACTAATAAGGGCTGTTGATAATGATGAACTTCACACACCACAGTCTGATATCCCAAATTGGCCAGTCTGTGCTATGGGAACCAGATTACCGATAAACATACTTAAATGTTCCTAAATACATACATATAATAGATAAATTACATTTACACAGAACACTGATTGTGCTCAACACAGAATAATTGCTCCTAGCTGGGAATCGAGCCCACGACCTCCGGCTTGGCAGTCAGGGTCACTTACCACTAGACCAACAGATCCGTATAATATACATATCTGTTCACTATTTTTTTTAAATATTAAACCAGATTTTTTACAGTTTACAGAGCTTTTCCATAAACAGGCTGACCAAAGACGTTTATAGTCGCTGCTATGTGAATCAAGTTCAAAACCGATCTTTTTTTAAAGGTTCTTCTAGACTACCACAAAGTATAGAGTACAGTAAAAAACAGATGGTTGGGTAAGATATATATATATTATTAGTTGTCAAATATTATAATATTAATAGTCTTAATATAATTGTTTCTTTTTACCAGATCCTAAGTATCTTAGTCTCTGGCTTATAATTACTGAATTCATTTCATAGAATGACAGCTATATAACAATTGTATGGTAAAACGTTAGTCGGTTATACTGACATCAGAACGTGAATTAACGCTGGTGTTTGAGGGACTATTAAAATTGCGGCGAAGTAATGCAAAGTAGGAGGAAAAGATACACCGTAAATACCGATTAACGCATGTATTTAATTTGAGATTTGGCTGCTTTTTTGAAAACTGTTTGGAGGCAGGAAGACTATCTATAGGAATATTATGGAATATTATAACTTCTCACTAAGAACAATTGATCTTGGAATATCGATTATCTAAAGGGTAGAAAAATAATTGTAGATTACCTTTAACTCTTACATTTTATCATTTTTAGGTTCTCCCCGGAACAAATGTTTGATGTTGTATCGGACATTGAGAATTATTGCAATTTTATTCCATTTTGCACAAAATCTATTGTTACAACAAGAACTTCGGACTATATGAACGCAAGTTTGGTGATTGGCTATCCACCTATACACGATTCTTACACAGCAAATATTACTTTAGTTAAACCAAATGTTGTAAACGTTGAATGTATAGACGGTAAGTTCTTCACCCAAATGCTTTCGCTCTGGAGATTTAGTCCAGGCATTAAAACAGAGGATCAGTCATGTATTATTGATTTCCAAATGACTATGAAATTCAAATCAGCTTTACAATCACGATTAACAACTTTGTTCTTTGAAAAATTTACCGGCCAAATGGAGTCTGCGTTCATGAAGGAAGTTGACAAACGCTATGGTCCTGCTACAATGAAACCAAAGAAACTACTGCGAGAATCTTTTATGAAAGACTAACCAAATTGTATAAGTAAGCTAATCTGTAAATATATTTTCTTTGACCTATTTCTTCTATTGTAATTATTGAATAATTCACTATGTTTATATTTTGTAATGCCTCCTTGTTAATTTATGTATATGAATCACAGAGACAACGATCCATCATTAATTATATACGATATAGGATATAGTAGTGTCATCATTAATTATTCCAGTGGGTATCGTAAGAGTCGGCTAAGGGAGCAAACTATGCAGGACAACAGCACTGCTAAGAGAACTAAAACTTGATATAACCCTTTGAAAAAGGAGAGATCCGGGAACTACTGTTATTAAGACATCCGGACCCCTCTTCGCACCCGTCTGCAATGGCGCGGGCACCACCTTCGGGTAAATTCTTTCTTTAGGCGACCTCGCCTCCTCGCGGCTATGCCAACCCTGCCAGCGCAGCGTTGTATAATAGGCTAAAACCTCCTTTCTAAGGAGAGGCCTATGTCTAGCCACTGCTAGACATAGGGCTATTAAAAGCTGTTGATGATGATGATGACATGGATTACTTATTACACATATAAGTAAATGCCTATTTTAGCGTCTTCGAAGATGATTACCAAAGTACAAATTTTACTGTATGGTGAGTGTTTCTCCAGATCTATATTTGGTTTGTATACATATACAAACCAAATATAGATCTGGAGAAACAGTTTCGTTTTCGTCTTTTGATACATATCAAAAGACGAAAACGAAGCTGGATAAATGGATTCTCAACGTGGTGGCAGAAGTTGAACATTGCCGCAGTCCATGGGAGGCCTATGACCGTTTTTGTTAAGCAATGAACGTCGTACAGTTTAGATGATGAAATAACAATAATTGTATTTACGAACACAGGGGAGTGACATTTTCATAACAACAATATGTCGAAACTAAGCATGGTAAGGAATACAAATTGGAATTTCTTAAGCCGATTATACTGTCTTGCCTGAATTTAAGTTACTAATTCAATTAAATTTCTTGAATTTATGAGTTTAAGAGTAGGTATGACAATATATTCTATTCAGACCTACATATATTAATTAAAAGAATACTGCAATGTAATCGGGTAAATTAAAATTCACCAGTGGTTGAAAGAAACACGATAAACTTGATTAAATTGTAACATATAACAGTCAAAATAACAATCCCATATCGGCTACAGGGCCGAACCCCGTATAAACTCAATAATACTGAACATTTTCAAATATACTCTAGAATGAAAAAAAGATAATCAATTATCGCTCTAATCCTTTGGCATAAGACTTTTATAAGCTCACATTTCAAAAGAAAACAGAAGTTGCAAGACTAGTTCTGTTTATTTAGTAATTTTTATTAATAAAAATTATTTATTTATAACAATGTTATCCATTAGGGCTTGCTCAACTCGGTTAGTTCTCTTCCAGCAAACCTTAGGAGTGAAAAGAGAATACTGAAAACCAAAAAGAGATTTAAGTAGTGCACTTAAAAATCTTAAATATAGAAATATACAATAAAATACAAGATAACAAGAGAATAGAGAGAGATAACAAGGAGATTAGGTAGAAAACAAAGATAACAAGAAGTATATAAAAATAACTAAATTGAATTATTTACTCGTACATACTTTTAGTAATTTTAATATTCTGGACATATCATAAATACCGTTCTTAATTCAGAGTTATGTATATGAACCATAAAGTAATGCTAAATCACAACATATACCTACATTGCATACCCTGTACAACGTCCCAATGGGATAATTGATAATTTAATTGATAGCATCATCACGAGCACCTTGACATGACATAACAGAGCGTGGGTCGTATTGTGCGGTTGTCAGTAGGGCATGTCATGTCTAATCGAGCAGGAAGGGGTATGCTTGTAGAATTGAATAGGTACATCTATAGATATTGAATCCTATATACGATTATATGTGACCATTTAGTCCATGTATACGAGTACTGTTGTGGTATTTTCGTTTAGCTATGAACGATTGAATCAAAATAGATTGATATGCGATTTTTAGTTTTTCATAGAATCATACAATTGTATTTTTATTTTATCCTTTTGAAATTAAAGTGTTATGAAAAACGAATGAACTTATTCACTTATGTACAATATTATTAAACCAGAAACAGTCATCTAAGGAGATCGGTTTTCTAGCTTAAAGTATAAAGATATATTGAAATTCAAGGTCTAAAACAACAGGGTCTATTGACAGATGTACATTCTAACATTTCCCGAGACGTCTTATAGAATTACTATCCTTATAAAAATGTATCACTAAGTTACAAATCATTATAAAATTTCAATTAGATTCACCTTGATCAAATCATGATGCAAATTCATAAATTTCAATCTAAATAGCGATTCTAGGAGAATGCCAAGGGACATTCTTAAATATCCAACATAAGCAAAGCGACCTTTTTTTAAAACAAACAATCCCCTTTAGGGGTTTTGTTGCATTGTAAGTAAACATTGAGATACTTATAGCAGATTTATTCAAATATTTCAAGGCGTTCTTTAGTTCATGGTTACATTAATACAGCGATAAAATTTGTAGAATGTTAGTTATTTTTAATGACTAATTAAAGGCGTTGAGAATCGCTAAGCTAACTTATTATGGTGGAACATCAATGTATGGAGAAAAAAAAACATCGAATAGAGTTTAAATACATGCAAAGAATTGCGGTTACCTTAATTATATTATACCTATGTAAGTATTTTTTTTAATTTACTTATATTTACTTATTTTTATTTTTTTTAATTTTTATGCACAGAAAAATGCACAAAGGTGGACTCCATGTCATAAGCATTCCCTGCCAGTCTACCCTGAGGTGGTGTAGAAATATATTTCCTTGTTTTTCACAATTTGTTCAGAAAAGTTTTATGTGAAATCGAGGTTTAGTGTTTCCTTAAAGCAGAAAAAAAAAAATTGGATTTTTTTTATTTCATTTTGTTTTATATATTTTTTACACAATAGCTGGGTATGACATCACGTTATACTGTCAGTCATCTACCCCATTTACTGTCAATAAAGTTTTTCTTTAAAACTAAGGTATTTTAGCTTTCTTGACAAGAGGGGTTAACAGGTATAAAAATCTTAGGTTTACTATTAAAATAAATAAATAAAATACTTTTATTTCAAGAATCAATCACAACCTATATTAATACATCGCATCTTAATACACATTCATTCATAATATAATTATCGACATTATTGCCATACTAATAAATTAAATTACAAATTACCAAAATTAAATCCTTAGTTACATTTCCATCATCATAACACATACATAAAATAAACAGACGAGACAATAGATATTATATTTATTCATTATATTATTATTATTCAGTTTAATATTATTATTATTCTTTTAATTAATTCACAAGATTATTATTATTCTTATTAAGATTATTATTATTATTATTATTATTCTTTTAATTTGCGCAAGATGGCTAGCAGGAGCTGGATGCGAGAAGCCCAAAATCGATCTAAGTGGCGTGCAATGGGAGAGGCCTATGTCCAGCAGTGGACTGCGATAGGATGATGATGATGATGATGAATTAATTCACTATCTTTACTGTAAATTTTGCAATTCAATTTAACGCGTCCAACAATGTTCAAATAAATTTAAAGTGCATACCCCCTTACCATTCTAAGTGTCTGCTACAAAAATGTCGCATATAAGGGCACTCTAATCTGTCTGCTATCATCGCCAGTACATAATTGGAGCTGTCCCTAAGATAAATTACCATTTAACTAAAATAAGCACTTATGAATGACTGACTGAAATGTATATAGTAATATTGACACGTATCTGTAACAACAACACATGTTTTAGAATGTGGGCGTATTTTGTGATCGTAGAAAATCATCGTTTCCTCAAAATAGCTTAAAGTTTATGCCCGATCAATTTCATGCACATTTTAATTATTAAATTTATTTTCAAATGTAAACTTTTACATAAATAATCATTTATCAATTAATTTTGCTAACATGTATGTAATTAATTTTAAAATCTATACACATAACTCAAACACAGAATTATTTGGTTTGAGCATTGAAAGCATTATGTAATTTATTTTTAATAATGAAAACTATATAATTATACAGATAGACGGGCACAAGGACAAAGAAAAACAGTTGTTTACCGGCCAGTGTTATTATTACGTGTAATAAAATTTATTAGGACCTGGGACACACTATAATTAGGGCTAGCATCAATGTAACAAATTCGGCCCGAAGTGTGTCAGCAATCGACAAACGGCAAATGACAGCAATGCTTAGATGATAAGAAATCATTAACGTTGTTTATAAACACTCGAAATGCTCATCATGTCTTGTCACCCCATGCAGTTCTGGTAACTTACAGCTTTGGCAGTAACAAACACAGATATGGCATTAGTATTATCTGTGCATGGTAGTGGCTCACAGCTTTTCTGGCACGACACTTGATGCTAGTTTTACCAACTAGGTACTGAAGCCTATCCTCGTACAAACACTGAGTTATCTAGAGTTTTTAATGACAGCCGTAGACATTCTTATGTATACAGAAACAATTAAAATAGTCTTTAAAAAAAATAACAGAGGAGAGGAGAAGAAACTTATTTATTTTATTTTATTGCGTTCTAAGTTCTCATACTAGTGTAATTACATGTCTTATAATAAAGATAGTATAAAAAAGAAAGAAGAAATCTGTTTCTTATTTTCGTTCTTTATCGTACTCTTAATTCAACGAGAAGATGGGTTAAGTGACAACACCGCCCTTTAAGGCCTCTGACAACATGTGTATCTAAAATTTTACGATGATAGATTGAGTAATTAAGGCGTAAAAGCATAACAAATAAACAAATAATCTGACTTTTGAAATTAATATTATAAGGATAGTTAACAGACTAAGCATAATTAAAATAACAATATATTTAAACAATACAGGACGGCAGCGTTAGACCGAAATGGACCAAGTTTAACAACAATATGCTAATCTATTGAGTACGAATGCAGTTAG